TCTAATTAATTTCCTAATTAATTAATGTGCCAGGTATACCATTTAAATTCCTAAAGGGTCATACCGTTATATATGGTAACAACGAAATAGTTCTTCCAAATGCTTTTTTTTTTAACGGTCATTCACTCGGTTGACCCTTTAGGCTAAAAGTTCCATTTGCGGTTCCTCTTTGATTATTCCCATTTTGTAACCTAATTTTTCAATTGCCGCTTACCGACAACTTTTATCTCTCCCTAACATCTTTTACTCATTCTCTCTCTTTCTTTCTCTCATCCATTTTTTTTCGTTTAATTTTATTTGCACTTTTTTTTTAAACAATTCATCTCTCTTTTAATTGTATTATCGGAATGAGAATGGAAATAAAAGCATTAATTTTTTTTTTCAAATTGTTTATTTGCTGCAATTTTGAAATGATAAATGTTGAAATGAATGAGATTTTAAAAAGTCTTCAAATTTCAAATTTAAAGCTGAAATTATAACAATTTTGATTTTTGCAATTTAAATTTCCGAATTTTTTTTCTAAAAAATTATTTATAATAATTAACATTTTACACACACTTTCTTTTTTATCCCTTTTCATGCAGAAAAAATAAAATAAGCATTTGTGTAATATGGAAAATTATTCGAGTTTTTTTTATTCATTAATAATCATACTGAAATAATTGTAACCTCGAGAAAGAATTATAATCAAAATTTTAATAAAACACGTGAGAATGTTTTATCAGAAATGATTTTGATAAATTCGAAAAATTTTAGAAATTTCAAATAGTAACAAATGATTAAAGTGCCTGTAAATCAATAGTTTTAATACGAAACTAAAATACTTTCTTTTTCTTATAATCTTTTATTTTTTGAAATTTTATGATTTAAATTACAATGCTCTGAGGAGCAAAACAACTAAAATATCAATTAATTAATTTAATTTACATTATTTTTTAAAAAAGTGATCCAAAATTCATGGTTTAAAAGACTTTTATTATTAGCTTATTTTTTCCTTTTTTTTCCATCCTTTTTTTTTTCATGTTTTTCATTTTTTTTTTTAATTACAGAAATCCAGCACGATTACGTCGTTTTTTTGGTGTAAGTAAAAAGAGTAAGAAAAAAAGAATGGTTGAAATGGATGATGTGAATGTTGTAATGTTTGATTTGGATCTTCATGATGATGATGATGATGATGAACGATCGCATAGTACTGCTGCTACTGCTGCTATTAGTGAATCAGGATGGTATATCCTCCTACCTATCAATATTATGGCTAAAGTTAGCAATGAATATTTTCATCATGTAAAAATTTCAAATTGTAAGAAAATCGGGGAGGAGAGAAT